AGATGCAGATTTGATAGTCTACCGGCTCTTTGCGATGTCCTGCTAGTTAAGATAAGGAAAATCCTTGAATATTTCATCTCAACCGTTCCTTTGAAATCCCTCGGCCTAACGGAGACGTCAACAGTACCAAGGAATTCCCAGCTGGCAATGGTCAAATGTGGCGTCGCATAAACGATAAAACTTAGGAAAATGGTGGAGGGAAGGCCCACTAAAGTTTTTTTTTTTTTTTGGGACATTTAGGCCATTTAAGGCAAACTCACACACACAACGCATACACAAAGACTTGAATCTTGGACCTCTTAGTTGGAAGCTTAAGCTCTCAACCAATAAGCCAAGGAGAGTTGTGTCCACTAAAGTTTCATTTGAACAATTGTTTACGGCTTCCTAACTAAATTTTTTACTTTTTAGTGAAAAAAAAAATCATTTAAAAAATTTTTTGTACTTAAAAATTTAATTTAAAAAATAATAAAAAATTGGTGTGAAGCAATGCTTAAGCTGCCGGATAATTATTAGTTGACTATTTTTTAAATCAGTCTTTAAATATAATAAATAAAAATTTTTTATTAAAAAATCGTTAATTAATTGGAGAAGAGATGTGAGACGATGAAGTTTAAGCTGGCTTTTATTTGATAAATGATAAGCACAAGCTCAAGCCTTCAATGTAATGTCATGAAAGTAAGTGAAAATAATAATAAAGATTTATTGAATAATTTTTTATTCTCTTCCAAATGAATTGATGGCATTAAAGTCCACAGTCTCACATGCAGAAAGACAGCTGTCTCCCAATTAATTTCCTTGCTTTTTCACAAAGCTCCAAAAGCATGTCACATGCACATTGATACTTGTCTATCACTCAGTAATTTAATTGTCTAATTGAGATCCATTGACATGTTACTAGGGGTGTAAACGAGTCGAGTCGAGTCGGATTTTGACTCTTATCGAACTCAGCTCGTTACATGAAAAGCGAGTTCGAACTAGAGCTCGTCTCGCTGTAAACGAGTTCGAGCCGGCTCGCCAGCCATGGAAGGAAAATTTTAAATTTAGGTTGGATTTTTAAAAATTAGATGTAATTTTTAAAAATTAAGCATGATTTTTAAAATTTAGTATATATATATATATACAGACTCGGACTCCGCGCGACAGCGGCAGACGCGATGCGCGACAGGCTGACGCGATGCGACTCGCTAAGCGACGCGGGTCAGACTCGGACTCCGCGCGGGCAGGTTCGGTCAGCCTCGGTCAGGGCGGGCAGCGGGTCATTTCGGGTTTCCGGGTCAACCCGAACCCGACCTGGTTTTTCAAATGGGTCGAAAACTCGAACCCGAACCCGACCCGGTTCGGGTTGACCCAAACCCGAAATTTTCGAGTCGGGTCCGGATCGGATTTTCGTGTCGTGTCAAATATTGACAGCCCTAACCTTCATGATACCTGAGCTCTTCCAGTGAACTTGATGGTTGCAAAGCAGAATAGAGATACTTCAAAATATCATGTTGACCATTCAACGAATTGTACTGATGTATACAACCTATATAGACACTCATAAAGCAGCCAACTCCAACGACTTCGGCAAACATCACAATCCTTAATAATGTTGACACATATAGCCTTTGTAGATAAGGTTTCCAAACACAGATAAGTAGCATCAAAGCTGTTCCGGATGCAGTAGCAGCAAATGGAAGTCTAGCAATGTGTTTCAGCTTCTCGCTAAACATGTAATAACCCTGCAACCTCACTTTTTTAACCTGGTAGACTAGATACTGCTGAAATATGCCTGTGATTACTAGTAAGATGACATTGCAACTGCAAATCATTGCTGATATCAGTTCTGGCATGGGGAAGAAAAACCATCGTGATGCAACTACCACAACTACGTAACCAACAGGATGCAGTACAAAATGCTGCCAAAAATATTTCTAGGTTGTCAATGATTTGATAAGGGTGAAACTATTATCATCGACGGCGGGGACGGAGGATGAAGTCGTGTGAGCCATGTCCGCAACCGATTCCACGCAATTCACCTTTCCCTGCTCGCCTTCTATTAGGTCTATATCATCTTCTTCCCCAGAATTATGCGCTCGGGTCGAAACCTCGATTCTGCGGAATGGTTGGCAATCCCGATCGATCGCAAATATGATAAGAGATATAGTTGTTTTTTTAATCGGCAACAGAGACACTGGAATCCTCTAAGAAATCAACAATTTGAAGGATATTTGGCCTCAACAGCATGGAGCTAGTCCCAGCTAAAAGCTCAGAAATGATTCTAAAGGAGAAGTCACACCTAAAGAAAAGGTAAGAGAGTTTTTTTTGAAGGTGGCAAATAAAGCAAAGAAGATCTGTGTTAATATTCCTTTTTAATAATGCATGAAAAGTTTTCAGCCTACCACGTAAAACCAACCAGCCATAAAAAGAGAAAGCACAGGGCATGAGATTTATGCCAAACTGAGGACTGCTAAGAGCATTGAGCTTCTTCACTATAGAATTCCATAATAAAAGATTTAAATTTAGTCGAATGAACATTATCTCACTTTAAACAGGCACCTGAATTGTTTAACAAAATAAGAATAGGAAAGAAAACTTCTAAAGTTTGCCTTTTAACAAGGAGAGATTAGTTATGTGCGGTCATCAGATAGTACAAAGGTTTATTAGGATGCGTCATGTCAATCGATACACAATGGTACACAGTGTATTTATGACATGGCGCATCCTATTGGCCTACGAACAATGGCCACATGTAATAATTTTGCATTAACAAAAGAGGGGGCAAGTTCAAGAATAGCCTTTTATTAGCATATTAAGTAGGGAGGATTGAATTGTATCAGAGAAAGGAATATCCAAGAGACATTTTCTCAAACACCGGTATGAAGTGAAATGTATGTAATAATTTTGCATTAACAAAAGAGGGGGCAAGTTCAAGAATAGTCTTTTATTAGCATATTAAGTAGGGAGGATTGAATTGTATAAGAGAAAGGAATATCCAAGAGACATTTTCTCAAACACCAGCGGTCCCAATGAAGCGAAATGAAATGTATGTGAGAGAGGAGAAATTATTCTATGCGGAGTCCAAGTGTAAAGAATCTTCCGGATTGTTGCATATACACTGCGTACTTACTATGTAGCATATTTATAGATACGCATCAAATACAGAGTCTATCATTAGTTGTGAGTATTTGCTGAGCATTTATTGAGTATTATTGATTTGCTACTTATTTACAGGTTATTTGATGCGTATCTACAAATATATAGTATATACACAATACGTACGTAGTGCATACGCAATAAGTACGCAGCAACTAGAAGACCATCTACATTACGACTCCGCATATAATAGTTTTCGGTGAGAGAGAGAGAGCTGAAGTTTTTCATTTGCATTCTAAAGAAAAGGGGGTTACAACGCCTCCAACAAAAAAAAGCTAACAAAAAAAGAAAATCTAATAGCCCATAGGCCTATCTAGCGGGAAATTCCGCCGATCCTCCTCAAGGATACAAAAAATATCTTAAGGAATATACTCTTTGTATCTATCCCCATAATCCAAAAAAAAAAGAAGCCAGAGTAGCCCTTTGAGCACAAAAATGGGCCGCCCTATTAAATCGTCTGTATGTATGGACAAACAAAAGATTCCGAACTTGTAGGAGCCAATCCAGCTCGGCACAATTCCTAGTCTGAAGTTTCCACTGTTCCTTCTCCATGTATGCTTGCATAAATTGGATCACACTTGCGTTGTCACCCTCAATAATGATCCCGTCAGCCTCGAACATCCATTCAAGAAGAAGCTTATGGATGTACCGGAACGCCATAAGCTCCACATGCGTGCTATCCCAGTGCGTGATTCCCCAACCCGCCGCCTTAATTAAGGATCCCCGATCATCCCGAATGACAATACCAATCTCGCCAACGTTGGATCTTCTGAGAGCGCCATCAAAATTAATCTTCAACCAGTCTGTAGGGGGGGGGGGGACCCCACGCGGATGTGATTAAGGTCTTCGACCTCATTATAACTGAGAGGGCAATGCGGGTCAACCTGGAACTTGCGGCCGCATAACCACTCATTAGTAGGAATCCTGTTCATTTAGACCCGCCACCAAAACAGTCGCACCCGTGGACGCAGCCCAAGCTTCAAAATCGTGCAAACGGGGCTATACTCCTCATCAAACAGTCTGTTGTATACATTGGCCGAGATTGTAGAACCCAAGGGGGTCTTGATCAGCTCCATACGGTCGGAGCACATTCCCGCTTTGATCGGTATTTCACAAATGTTCTCCATGAGCGTCTCCCCGAAACAGGTGAAGAGTTTCGGCCTGTCCCAAGTGCCTTCCTCCAGCAGGAAATCAGCAACACAAAGATCATACAGGTTATTTGATGCGTATCTACAAATATATAGTATATACACAATACGTACGTAGTGCATACGCAATAAGTACGCAGCAACTAGAAGATCCTCTACATTACGACTCCGCATATAATAGTTTTCGGTGAGAGAGAGAGAGAGAGGTAATCTGAAAGGAGAATTTATGCTTAATCTTGGTTGCCGTATCACAAATCACATAAAATTTAAATTCTAAAAGAAATAATCAAATAATTTATCTAAATATAACATCCATTTTGAAAACTTTACCTCTTATGCAGCACAGATCTCTCCCGTTACAGTCTCCGTGGAATGGCAAATTATTAGGTCCGGTTACCAGACATATTTCTAGGTCCGGACATCCACTAAAAATTTGCCACGTGGAATGTGCATGTGTCCATGAAATTTTAAGTCAAGTGCATCAAAAGTGCAGATAAAATATAGGTAAAGTACAGTCAAAATATAAATAAAATAAATCTAAAGCATAGTCAAAATGCACAGTCAATATGATAAATTTTTATTAGATGTTCGGATCTAATAATTTGCCCCGTGGAATAGGGAGCATTTCTTAAAAAATGGCTACAAAAGTACTCCATGGAAGAGTTTGGAAGCGGACAAGGGAATTATTTGTGAATGGCTGCAAAAGGCAAAAGGCAAAAGGCAAAAAGGCAAAAGGCAAAAGGCAAAAAGGCAAAAGGCAAAAATCTGAGTGCGAGCTTCTATTTTTTAATTGTCCACCTCTTCCCTTTTGATCTTACCAATTCAATCCCACATAAAACGACGGCGCTCGCACAGCAAAGAACCAAAACGACCTGTTCGCTCCTACTGGTTCCATTAAATTCGTTCTCTGTGAACTTCTGAGAACGGGAAGAAAAACGGGCCCTAGGAAGAGTGGTCGGCCAGAGAAAACCTTCAAATATGAACTCCATGGCCTTCAGTGACTCCTTTCTGTTTTGTAGATTTGGCGTCTCAATTCCATATCGAACTCGCACGAAGAGATCCGCCGGCGACCACGTAGTGCACGCCACCGCAGTTGGAGAGCGCCGTCGTAGACGGCCGCAGAATGTAGAGGGCGAGTTCTTCGTAGGTGAGCCGAGTTAAAGCTAAATCCAAAAGTTTTGCTTCCAATATTGCTCGAAGTGCATGCAATGAGTTTCCAGGCTGACGATGGTCTCGTTCGATCGTTTGCAGATCAGCGGTGCATCGACTGCGATACATGCCGGTGGATGGCTCCGGTAATTGATTAGGGATTTGCTTTGCTTTTGATTTAGGGTTTTGGCTTAGTTTCCATAGAATTTTGTTTGTTGGTTTGGCTTCTCAGAGGACCTTCAGCAGGGTTGATAACATGTCGGCTGTGATCGAGCAGCCAAGCTCAGAGGAGGATAGACGCCACGCGCTCCAGGTGATATTTTTTATACAGGAATTTAGGTTCTTTCCGTTAATAGGTTTAATAATAAATGCACTTTTAGCTCAAGTTAAGGGAAGGAAAAAAAGAATTAGCGAGTAGAAGAAAATAGAAAAATTATATTCTTTCATGTGTATTGGGAGTACTAAGTGGGTAACGAGAACAAATCACAAGGTTGAGGTGATGTTTGGTGAGAATTTAGTAGATCCTTTTAGAAATGATGTGAATGAAGATGAGACTAAGGCTTCGTTTGGGACGGCTTTCTTACTGCTTCTTAAAGCAGCTTTCTAATACAAAATTTTTATTTTTTGTATTAGAAAGCTGCTTCAAGAAGCAGTAAGAAAGCTGTCCCAAATGAAGTCTAAAAGAGTTGAGAAAATCAACTTGAAAGATAAAGTGGACTATTCTTTACCTAAAGAATGGAAATATAATAAGAACCAACTTAATATTTGGGGTATAGGGTTAAAAGGATTTTAGGGGTCTTAGGGATTTAGGGTTTAGGGTTTAGAGAGAGAGGTGCTTGCTAGTCCAGCTGACAAGGGAGTTGAAAGTTAAGATTTTGAATTTGCTTTTCAAAAATTTTTGTGGTGGGAAGCTGCTTTGTACTACTAGATTAGTTAAGTTGTTTTCTTTACTACAACTTCACAATCAACTTTATAAATCGTCGTAGCCATTACAAACAGACCCTAAATCAGAAGTATAATTTGTTAGTCAAATTTTAAATAATATTTCTAATTGAAAATAATTAATCTATGCCTAGTTAACTTAATTAAATTCTAATTAATTACTAGGAAGAAAATAGGCCATGATTGAGAGGGATAACTTTTTAATCTTTTAAAAGAACAGGAATGGTTTAGGATTGTTGAAAGTTTACTTACGTTAGATTAATTTCTCTCTATTGTTGCTCCATTTGCAAGTAATGAAACCAAGGATCGCACATGAGTACATTATTATCTGTAAATTTCTTTTTTTTTTTTTTTTTTTAAAATTTTTTTTTTTTTTTGGAAACTGATCTGTAAATTTCCTTTGTTGATGAATCATTGCATTATTTAAGATTCGTATAGGAATTTTCGACTTCCCTATGCCCTGTTCTAATGTTTATATCTTATTGTGTATAATCATTTTTCTACTAGTTGGGTTCGTTAAAAGCTGGTATATGTTGAAAATTCAGTAATTTGTTGACCTGCCTTTTGAAGGGGAGATTTGCTTAATCCTCTTGTGCTAGTAGCATATAAATTACAAATTTACAATACATATTGTTTTTGATAGTAATAAATTTGTGGATCTTTAAAAGGAAAGAGTTAATATTGTGTCGCTGCCAATAGGTGGTAACGTGGAGGTTTGGGGTTCAATTTTGCTAATAAAATAGCAATGTGTTAATATTTTAATACTGTGGAGTAGCAGGGACCTTTATTTAGAAGCTAATCATTCAATTTTATCGCTTTTATGCTGCTAAACTTGATGTTCTACTTCATAATGTTTGTTCCATTGCAGGCACTCCTGTCGTGTCCCACTAACTCCATACATACTGAGAAGCCAACAATGGAGATTATTCATGTTCAGAAATTGTTTCCTCTTGCTGTAGATGAAAGCAGATTGCCGGTAGTTTTTTCTCTTTGGAACTTATAGTCTCGCTGTTGCTCTTTGTTTCTTGTTAATGGTTGTACCTGTTAATTGAAGAGGAATCAAACTTATTATCTTCAGGATTCTTGCATGTAGCAAAGGTTATAAAAAATCTTATCCCATGATATCATCAAGAAATTATTGAAACCATGAAAAAAGGAATTATTGAAACCTTGAGTTCTCTAACAAGTTTATGATGATATACAAGGGCATTTATTACTGTGGCTATCACTCTGAGAAATCTTATGGAGCAGCCGCATACCTAATTATTCACCCAGAAGGCAATATTCTTGTTGATAGGTAAGTTTTTTTCTATTTTGTGACAACGAAAGAGTAGAGTTTTCATTAAATGTTTTATGATAGTGTGGAAGTGTCAACTCGGCGTAATATGAACAATCGTTTGCAAAAATTGAGTGGCAGTCAATGTCCAGAATTTCCTAGGAAAGTTACCTATGTGGAGCTACTTAAATATGTTTGATATAGTTGTATTATTGTATTATGTATATTATGTGTTCATAGATACAATCATGATTCCCAAGTTGGTCTGGCTACATCAATAATGACCACAGGATTGGCTTATTATTGAAGATCTGCGTTCCTCCCATGATAGTGTGATGTTTAAAATAAATTTCAGCTGGCTTAAGGCTTCCAACTAATGACTAATTTATTCTTTGTATTTAAAATCATGTCAATGTGGGCTAAATAGTGTTCTGTAATGCATAGTTATATAATAATGTTGACAGTCTTTGCGTTCTCTTAATTATTTTTTGAAATTTAGAACTTCCCAACACTTTCTGGCATATGTATGCCTGATATATTTTCTTTCGGAATGTTATCATGGAAGCTATATAGTTATTATTTCTTTTTTACTTTCCAGTCTTACGTAAAATTGACAATTAAGTTTTATTTTTTCACTTTCCAGTCCTCGTTATACAGGGGTATTGGCGAGGAATATTGAGATTTTTGGAGGAGCAAAGTTTATGTTCTTGACTCACATGTAAGATGAAGCAAACCTGAGAATGTTTCTTATATATAGTTTATTTTAAAGAGAAACAAAATTTACTCTCTTTTTTTATGCATTATACAGGGATGATGTAGCAGATCATGACAAGTGGTCGAAACGTTTTGGTTGTAAACGGATTCTCCACTCAAGAGATGTAAGTACTCATTAATTACAGGGGCTCTATCTGTCCTTTGTACTAGAAGATGTGAATTATGTTGGAAAATAATATTTATGTTTCTGCTATATAATTAATTTATGTGGAAAGAACTTGCATAGCATAAGGCATGCGAGGCGCTGTCCTTTAAGGCAGATTCTGTCACTATCAGTATAAATATGGCGCAAAAAGACTATCAACCTTTGTTTTATACTCAATGACTAATTCGGGTGTGTTTAACAAGAACAATGGTCGATTGATGTGACACCATGCAAAGTTGTTTTGAAACTTGTGATGCTACGCGAAAGCACCCAAACATCATATGCTTGCAAAATAGCCTATGTCGATGCACTTAGAACTTTAAAAATTATCAAGGATTCGCCATTCACTTAACAAAATAGTGAACTAAGATCACGATGTTACGTGAAATCACCCAAATGTCGCTCATTCGCGAAGCAAACTGTACCATCATGTTCAAACATCAAAATTATCTAGGAAGGATCTCTTGTGTTCAATTCGAGCGAAAGTGCTAAAAAAAACTATGAGCTTGACGTTGCACGAAATCACCTGAATGATCTCTTTTGCAAAACAGACTGCGTCATCATGTCTAGGACATCGAAATGACTAGAAAAGGACACCCATTTTGCTCAACATTTGCATGAGAAAAATGATGAAAAATTCATCGGTGTGTGCAAAACTCGGCGTGTGCAAGCGATGAAAGTTTTGGCAAGCAAATAAATGTTTATATATATATATATATTTATGATTTTATTAAAAAAATTCAAATTTAATTCACAATTATTATTTTAATATCTTATTAAATACAAATAATGAGCAATTAAAAAATAATAAATAACTAGCCTAATCAGCCCTGCCTCTTCTCTTTCTCATTCTACTTTTCCCATCTAATATCAG